GACGTCCCTGAACCCTACACCCAAGCAAGTTGAGGCTGCAGTACTCCGTGCAAGGCCCTCGTTCAAGGCCCCGAAGGCATGCTCTCAACCATTGCGATGGATAAGCACGATTTAGGATGTAGGGTAGCCTAAAACGCCCACCTGAACTCCGGGTTACTGAACGCCCATGAAGCCTTTCTGAGTCTGTTTCTACGATCAGAATGGAAATATCAGAACATCATGGCCTGTTTACCCAAAGCCCTGATCAAACCCTAGGCCCTAAACTGATCCTAAGCCCTAGAACATGTACCCCAAACACTACCCAGAGACTCCAATACCCCTTAACTAAGGAATATACTTTAAATTATAGTGGGATCCCTAATAAGATTTAAGGTATATTCCTTAATTAAGGGGTATTGGAGTCTCTGGGTACACCCTACATCCCTACACCCTAGACCCGAAACAGACCCTGAGCCCTAGAATAGAAAGATTGCGTAGGGATGCGTCATACAAGCTGAGTCGATTGGCGTGCTTCTGTTGCATGGCCTAGAAGGTGGGATTTAGGATTATAGGATTTAGGGTTTAGGGAAGTAAGGTTATTAGGGTTTAGAGTTTTGGGATTCCGAGTTAGTTGGGGTTTGGCGGGGGGTTTAGGGTCTGGGTAGTGAGGTTTATGCTAAGCCCGTTTTGGGGTTTTAGAGTTGCAGGGCTACAAAGTCCACATATACACACACATATATATATATATATACATATACATATATATATATATATATAAACTATGCTCCGATGTTCGGGTTCGCAGCTGAAGAACTTGACGGGCGGAGGGTCGCTCTCCCAGCCAGCTCTCCGTAGTACAACTACGGTAACTGTGAGAGGAGTGCCGTTCGAGAAGAAGCGGCTTGAAAGTCGCTGCGTACACAATAAATTAACCCTAGGGGTCCATGTACTCATATAGCAGATACATTGGCCTTAATGCAGTTCCTATTTGGGTACTTTGGGGTCTAAGTATATGCTATATGGGTACATGGACCCTTAAATTAAGCCTTGTGGATCAGTGTTGCATGGATCCATCAGAAACCTGATACCCGAGACCCTGGCTAGACCGGAAAATGTCCGAAAGTGCCCTGGGCAGTTCGTCCACCGTCCCACTTATCCGCATTGCTTCGATTCTTGCCACCCTGACCTCTACGCGTAAGTACGGTGTTATTTTGGTTTCTGGAAACGGTTCGCAGCGCATAATATAGGGGCCTTAGCAGTTACCTATACTTTTTGGGGGGCTCCTTATTCTAAATAATATACCCAAAACCCTATTGTAATTATTACGACCCTTATATTGCCACGATGTGACCACAGTCCAGAGCCATCAGCGCTACATCAGAAGACCATGGTGTGGAACTAAGGTTATGCCGTGTCATGCTCCCAAGAAGGCAACATGGGCCCCGCAATCGACGCTGGAGCAGGTACAGGAGCAACATTAATTAAGTGTGAAGAGCAGCAGGAGCTCTAACAGCGCCAACGATCGTGGCAGCTGCAACCCGAAACTCCTCATTAATCCTGAAATCTTGAGCCCTAAACCCTAAAAACTGTAACCTGCAGGCCATCGAACCTTCAACCCCACACCATGAGCTCTTACATCCTCACTTGGAGGATCAGGGGACTTAGCAAATATGTAAGATTCTAGGTACCGCAAGTAGGACTTTAAGTTGGAAGTAACTAGAAGTATAGTTACCTTATGTATAACCCAACCCCAGCTACTAAGTCTCATGATTCTCTCAGCAAGTACCACCTGTACCGCCAGATTACTTTGGAGAAGACGAGACAGAGCTCTCTCCCAACTGGCTGGGGGCCCAGGATCTGCAGAAAGTGAAGATACGATTATACTGAATAGTACGGCTGATGGACAAAATTCTGCATGACCCATAATTAATAATTAATATAATGTAGTACCAGAAATCCCATGGTTTCAGTATATGAGGTCATGCAGCATTTTGTCCATCAGCCGTATCATGTGAGGCTGAAAAGCCACATCGGTCTGCAGTAGCACCATCATTACCTCCGCGCTCATTCCAATCATCCACCTCCTGATTTTCATACGCATACACACTTACAACATACATATATCTGTATCTATATCCATAATTACACGCATCTATACCTATATTCCTATATCTGTATCTATATCTATATCTGTATTTATGCCGATATCTACGTATTTGTATCTACATCCATATCTGGCTGTATTTCCGCATCTACATCTACATCTAAAGCTATATCCGTATCTATCCAGCTATTTATTCGTTCATTCACTTAGTTACTGTGTATTCAATATATATATGTGTGTGTGTGTGTGTGTTTGTTTGCGTATGAATTCGTTGATTGGTCTAAGTTTTGTCATATTTCTATTCGTATGTATGTGTATATGTATGTATATATATATATATATAAATTAAATATATATATATATATATGTATGTATGTTACCCCCATCCCGTCCCCCGCCCATACCCAGGTTGTGTCCTGTTCAAGTCAGCCGCCTTGTGTCACATGTGTGTTCGTGTTCCTTGGTCGTTGCCTTTGGGAAAGAAAGTTTCCGTTTACCATGGCTCCCGAGGCTTCTAAGTTTAGGGTGTGCTGTAGTTTTGCTCCCGAGGTTTTCCCAAATACATGGAAATTGTTGGAAATGTAGGTAAAACCAAGATATTCCATGCTTTGTCTGTGGGGAATCATGGGAACGTTTGGTTCAGCCAACATTTCCAACAATCTCCATGATTCCCGAAAACATGGCTCCGACATTGATGAAAATGTTGGATTTTTCTCTCGAGGTTTCTCCAATTTCATGGAGAAGGTTGACAGTGTTGGCTTTGCTAACATTGTCTGCAGGTACATGTTTCAAAACGATGTTACCGAAATTTTCGATTGAGCAGATCATATGTACTCATGCCATGTGTTCTGCAAACAGGGCCGGTAAGGTATTCGCATCCTTGGTTAAGCTCACTGTTTGTCCAAACACGAAGCTAGGCAACAATCTTTTTTGAAGACGTTACTGCGGGAACACCAATTCATTCGTTGTCTGTTTATCACGTACACAGCTAAACTTCATGTCTACGATGTAAAACTTTACTGCTAAGGAAAACTACTGATGCAGGAACATGCTTGTGCTGGTATAACCACACACATCTGAAGATAACTGTATAAAGTATTTGCTTACGCTGTTTGGTGTTTGTCGGGGGGGGGGGGGTCGTTAGTCGTTGTGTTTATGTACTTGTTGGTGTGGCTTCCAGGTGTTTACAATAATGAGCCCATCATCAAAAGACTATCATTCGCGCTAGAATTCTGACATACATCATTGTCAAATGTCTTTGGTCGGTGCAGAGTTTCGACAACGATTTTGCAAAGACTACAAGTTCTAGTCCGACCAATAAAATGGATTTGACTTGTATTATGCACACACTTTGATGAACTGAACTCGGACTAAGCATGTCGAAGCCACTTGGCGTGAAGAAACTATCAAACTCGACTAATAAACAACAACATGCAACCTAGAGTGTAATAGGCAGCCACGGCATGTTGGATTATGTTTTGGCTTGGAACACTATCAATCCACTCTCAGCAGGTTGACAGCAAGCAAATGTTTCACACTTGATTAACCATCATCCTATTCTGAGGTTTTAAATGCACAGATGTGCATATTAATGTGGTACTGACTGGTCGGTATATACTTCTCAAAATGTATAAACACAGGACTCAGCGAGTGTTTGAAATTAACTCTATAATGCTGGGTTGTTATTAAACAAGGTTCCAGAATAATGTACGAATCCTCTGAATGAATAATCACAACAATAACTGACGCAGTAAAACTTGACTCAGAAATGTTTATCAAACGGGGATGTACATAGTGTTATTTGGGTTTGTACTGATGAAGTATAAGAGCCGCAAGAACAGGAACCGTGGTGCTGGTAAAGAGATGTGAAAACAATAATTACCGCTAGACGTAATACGAAAACCACACTTGAAACTTGGATCTCAACATAAAGGAACAGATTATGTCGCAGTTTCATGTCTGAGAAAAGAGACGAAGATCGGATGCCTAAGGCAATGAAGACTACACTTCCAGCAATAACGACGAAACCTGCACGTATCCTAGTCGGTCACGACTTGCTACTGCTGACACTACGGCTCATTCCGTATATGATTGTATGAAGCAATAAACACAGTAGTTCATGTACAGACTGCAAAACCCACCAACAACAATGACATTGCTGTGTATAAGCTGTGTGTAAGAACGATAACGACAACCAACTCATCCAACCTGATACGAAATCTGCGCGGACGGCCATGGAGATACTACAGTATGATCCGTGCAAAGCTCAGTGTCTTATTGTGCTTCCGTAGGCCTCCTACCCCCGCAGTTTTGTCACACTCGCTCAATACTGCATGTCGGCTTCTCGCATGCACTCGGAGCCTCTTCTGTCCGATTTCCTTCCTGCTCACTCATGATGCTCAAGCAAATATACAGGTTGCTTTCGGCACGGGCTTCTGACACAATATGCATATTTCATGGTTGAGCCAAACCCCTCGGCCCACTTAAGCAAAGCATCAACGTAAAGACGAAAACCTGGGTACCGGAGGGGGGGGGGGGTTAGCATATATATATATATATACATATGTATATGTGTACATGCATATGTATATATGCATACATATAAAGAAGATATAAGCAGTAAATGTAAATTAAGCAATCAAATCAATATGTGTATATTTAAGTATATGTATATACATATGTATAATCATACACAAATTGGTATATACATATACTGCTATGATGTATACTACATACATGTGTATATCTATCTGTCTATCTATCTATCTATCTATCTATCTATCTATCTCTCTATCTCTCTATCTATCTCTCTATCTATCTCTCTATCTATCTATCTATCTATCTATCGATCTATCTATCTATCTATCTATCTATCGATCTATCTATCTATATATGTATATATATATATATATGTACA